CGGCGGGTCACCGGCGGGGGCGGGTCCGGGGGGGGCTGCCTGCGGGCCTACCCGGCGCTGCCGGTGTGGGTGGTGGAGGACCACCAGGACGTGAGTGCCCGGCGCTGGGCGGTGGAATGGGGAGTCCCTCGGGTGGTGCATGGGGAGTAGCTTCGTTTCTTTCTTTCTTTCTTTCTTTTTCCACAGCGTGGAGGCTTGGTCTGGTAGGTGGAAGCGAAGGGAGATGCCCGGTGGAACCCCTGTGCGGTCGCGGGCCGCCTCCCGGCAGGATGCGCCTTCCCGCGAATGTAGCCGGGTTCTCCCTGCTGTAGGTGCTTCCTTGGGAATAGTCCCCGCCTCCGCAGCCATGCCCAGGCCTTAAACCTGCGTTCTTTTTCACTAGTGAAACGTAAATGAAGTTCAATGCCCAGGTGACCTGAATTTCCTTCGCGGTTCAGCGATTAAGTTAATTAATGCCATGATCGGATTTTGGCGTCTTTTTAAGCAATTATTGCTGCCTTTTTTTTTTTTTTCCTTGAGTCGTAGTTGCTATAGTTAAAAGGAGACAATACCTACATTACACTGCTCTTAGAATTAGCTAGGCATTAGTGCAGTACTTGGAAGCTCAGCCCTACACAGTATATGGCATGTCAACAGCAAATTGGTAAATATAATCACATCCCAACAAGCAGATTGACTGCCACTTGATGAGAAATGTTAAATTTGGGACTTTGGTTTTTTTAGTTAAGTAAGTAAACAAGGGGGTGAAGAAGGAGTTGCTTTTGAACTGCTGTTTCTGTTTTCTCATATGGTTTGCTTATAGTAGCATAAGCCGAGGCCTTAGTCCTAAGTAAGCGGATTCTTTAGCCAGTGGTACAGAAGCCCGCTGATTTCAGTGAGGATTGCTGGGGGCATGAAGACCCTGTGGAGGAAAAAGTGAAAAATATTAACTCTATCAGTGTTTTGCAAACAGAAAGTTTTAGTGTAATAAAGTTTATTAAAGAAAATCATGTTCTGAACTTGTAAGTAAATAGTTTAACGCAGGTCATTTTTGCTAAGAGTCACTGAAATATGTGATGCTGTGATAGCTGGTTTTCCATGGTAACCAAGGACTAAGAGTGTCACTGTGATAGGAGTACTGAGATAATGACTATTAATGGTTCATCTTTGTTTTACTCTCTATACTTCTGTTTTCAGTTAACTTAACGAAGTCTATTCATACTAAATATATACACTGTGTTTTCAGTATATGTGTGTATATGCATTGGTCTATCTTGCATAAAGCATATATGGCCTTTCATCCCAAAGCATAAGAACTTCACAGAAACTTTATACAGTCCTTTGCTGACACTGATGTTCCTCTAGGGCAAGGTGTCACTAGATGCATCGTACTTTGATTAATAATAACAGCTGGTATAAAGGAAATTTTGTTCTTAATCTGAAGTAGGAGAACTTTTTAACTTTAATTGCAAAGAATGTAGATTTTTCAGGTAGTCCAGATTACTTCCTTTTTCCAAAGAAGTAATAAGTCATGGATCAGGGAACCCTTGTTATTTTTAACCTTGTTTTATCTGCTGTTACAGTAGTGTACATATTACTGCATATGTAGTGGGTAAACTGAGGAATTTATTACTAGGCAGATTGCATACAGTCCAAATTTCAGCTGTCAGACATGTTTTATGGTTATGCCCATGCAGTACACAGGATTTGTCATCTTAATCAGTTTTATGCCAAAAAATTAGCTCAGTTTCTGTTGTAATGTAGAGATCACGTGTAATTTTTATTGCCCAGTCCTTTTACAGTCTTCACATTCCCTGTATAATAGGAATGTGATTCACAGTCCTTGCTGGATTTGTTCTGGCAGCTAAGGCAGTTATTGTCCTGTAACTGTGGGAGGGACTCCCATGTACTGCAGTTCGGTGTAAGAGGTATCATAAATCAGCCATCATTTTTCTCATTTTGCCACCCTACGTTATTGCACTTCAGTGGTTCGCTACGCTATAAATTGATGAGTTGCCTCATCTCCTGTTTTTCCCACCTTTGAGTGAAGACCTTCAGCAGGGGATAAGGTTGGGCAGTTAAGAAAGGTAGTCTCTTTATTGCAGTCACTAAATCATGTAGGGATTAGGAATTAATCTTTCTTCAAAGGAGATAGGTTAAAAGATCAGCTAAAGTTTAAATGATGGTGGGATCAGTTTTCACTCTCTATTAGTTAACTTATAAAACACAAGTAATGAGATGTTTTTATCTCCACAGCACCCACGCATGGTGAGGAAGCTTTATAGCATGGAGAAGGCAATGCAGGGGCAATGTTCTGTAGAAGAGGAAATGCCTTCCTGGGATTCAGTTGTAAATGAAAAAACTAGGAATTAAGTTGAATGATGAGTGAGAAGAGCTTCTGCAAACAAGACTTCCTATAAAGAAGGAAGGAGGGAGTAAAGCTATGATTCTTCATCAGCTTCTCATGTGTGGAACTCTTGGGCTCATAATGATTACAGTTCATGAGCTGTCTTGCTGCTGGAGTTGTTTCCCCTTTGTATTGTTTTCCATCTCCTCGTTCCTCTAACCCAAATTCTAAAGGATTACGAGTGGGACTAGTGTTTTTGCTGTTAAAGCCATTGCATTTTTTAGCTCACTGGTTACAATGGAAATATTTTTATTTGTGTTGTTTTAGGTGCTACCTTTCATCTATCGTGCCATTGGTTCAAAGCATCTTCCTGCCAGTAACATCAGCTTTGTTCATCTTGATTCCCATCCAGACCTTCTTATTCCTGTGAATATGCCTGCAGACACTGTATTTGACAAAGAAGCTCTTTTTAGGTAAGTCCTCGGTACTGCATCAGAATACTTTTAAGTCTGCTTCCTGCTGCCTTTGATTTACAGTGAATATTGGTATGACTGCATAGAATGTATGAGCAAAAGAGGTGTAAGTCAGCCTCAAGTTGTGTCTTCTGTCTTTTCACTTTTACTGAAAACTTAATTTTTTTTGACAGAAAAAGTTATGATTGTGTTTTCTGAATGTGGTCAAATATTTAAGTCGCATATCAAGCAATTTAAGACTTCCAAATTTACTTTGTTTAGTTGTTCAGTAGTATATCATGTTATTAGGCCAATTAGTTCCTCTGAGTAACAGGACAGCACCCTGAGTGGGTGCTTTATGTCTGAACAGCTGTGGTTTTAAAACAGCCTTTCTCTCTTCATACTGCAAAATTGACTTTGAGATTGAAATAACATCTCCTATGTTGACATGGTGAATATGTGAAATTGAACAAGGTTTTCCTATTAAGATCATTAAGACCAATATTTTCCCCCAACTTCTTAGGTAGGTAACAAGCCACAGAGTGATCTTTGCTATTGTCTTTCTTTTCCTGTTTTAAAATAAGTATCGATTGCTTCAGTGTTATGGTGATTTAGCAATGACCAGATGATGTAATTGCTATGTAAGTAATTGTATCATGCTACCCATAGTCACTATTTTGTTTTCTTTGTTGGATGAATAAGTTTTGTGGACTACATCACACACCTAAAAAAAGAGGGTGTTGATAATCAGGAAAGTTGCTATTCTGTAGGTGCTGATTGACTCACTTTAATTACTGAGATTATAATTAAAATCTACTTGGAGCAGTTTACAATAAAATACTGCTTGAGGTCAGTTGAAAGTTATTTAGAACTGTGTTGATGATGCTTCTTGTACTTTCCTCTGTGTGATGTATCAAGAGAAAAAGGACAACAAATCCATGTAGTTTATAATCAAAGTGCCATACTAAGAGTGAAGCTGATTGCACTCTATAATTCTAAGTTTTTTAATTCTACTGTAGACATTTTTGGTCTGTCTTATGAATAAAGATTTCCCTCTTTTTCTTTCTTTGATGAGGTGAACCTTACACAGAGTACTAATTTCAGATGATTTGTATGGGGGCTTTCAAGATGTGGAAGGTGTTTGTTGTGTTCTTGGCCCTGTTTTACTTACAGGGAAAGTAACAATATTATCTCCAGCCTTTCTCCATTCATTACAGTGAATTAAGTATTGAGAACTGGATTATGCCTGCTGTTTACGCTGGCCATATTTCTCAAGTAGTATGGCTTCACCCACCCTGGGCTCAGCAGATCTCAGAAGGAAAACACCATTTTTTAATTGGGAAAGACATATCAACAACTACAATCAGGTAAATTGTCTGCTGTCATATGCTAATAATATAAAGGCTATCTCTGTAGCTTTTCATGGGTGTTTTTTTGTATTCTTGGATAAAGATGAAAATTTAATTTGTATTTGTGAGTTCCTTAGGTCCTACTGTGACTGACTGTTTGTGTGCATAGGTACAGTTAAAATTGTACCTTAAATTCTTTTTTTTATAGGTAAATCTAGCTATTCACAATACATTTCAACTACCCAAGTTTTAAATTAGTTCTCTTCATTAAAGTCAAAACCTCAGAAAGCAGTAATTTTTAACAGAGAATTTGGGTAACAGAGGGCAGCAATTAGATCCTCCTCAGTCCTCCCGTATCAGGACAAAACAAACCCAGTTCCCTCAGCTTCCCCGTCATGTGCTCCGGCCCTCTAATCACCTTAGCAGCCCTTCTTCAGTTTGTCATCATCTCTCTTGTCCTGGAGGCCCAAACCTGGGCAGAGTATGTCAAATGGGACCTCACTGGTGCTGAATAAGAGGAGATATCCCTTGCCTTCCCTTGCCTTCCCTTGCCTTCCCTTGCCTTCCCTTGCCTTCCCCATGTGTGTGTTTTTGTTTGTTTGTTTGTTTTGTTTTTTTAAGTTAATATACTAGTTAAGCACTGAAACAGCTATACAGGCAGATGGTGAAATCTCCATTCTTCGATAAAGTCAAAACTCAACTGGACGAAGGCCTGGTCAGCCTCATCTAGCTTTGAAGTTAGTTCTGCTTCAATCAGATGATTGACAAGAGACTTCCAGATGTCCCTTCCAATTTTAATCATTCTGTGATTCAAGTTCCAGTCAGAGCCCCTCATCATTCTGCGGGATGCAGTCAATGACAATTTCACATTCACCATATTCACTGCATTGTGATTTTGTACGGCTTGAATGGACATTTACAAATCGTGTTTCTTGCCAGCATATTGGAATAAATCTTTTGAAGCAAGTTTAACAGAAGGCAGCAGAGAAATGCTTTGTTTTACCACCTAAAATAAAACACAAAAGCTCTGCAATTCTGAATTTGAGGCCTGAAGTAAACCTAAATAAGATGACAAAAGCTGGTGCTTTCAGTTACATTTAACCATGAGAACTAGCACACATACAGAAATACTTCATGGTGGCTGAATAGCTCTCCCACAGATCCTCTGGTCGCCTTAGCAACCTTGAAAACAACATTTCCAGCTGCCTTTTGAAGACGGTCAGGTACCTTTTCTTCAGGTTCTAGACTTACAAAAATCATGAAAGAAGAAAGGGAAAGAGTCCTCAGAAGTATGAACTTCCTAAAAGTTTTGTTGACAACAGGTGGCTGGATAGGCAATAGATCTCTTAGTTAGTGTCCCACTAAGGGAAAGGCTGTAGCATGAGCTCGTGTTGAACCCTGGAGAATTTCTGAGAAGAGGCCCTGTGAACGCCCCATCAACAAGATGAAGTTGTGATCCAGGCTGTCACCTTAGCAGGCCTAAGACAATGCAGCCACAAGACACGGGGGAACTAAGCTTCAGATTTCTGCTGCTCATGAAATTACTTGTCTTTGTGGTTGATTGATGATGATACCCTGTAATCCAATGAGGCCTTAACACAAGTGAGCAGAAGTTCACACTTCTTCTTAAGCTTATTTTTTAATCTGAATTTATGATGCTTAATGTACTGAAATATGGTTTGAAAATAATATTCTTTAAATTTTCACTGTAAGTGGAGTTTTTAGCTTTGTTCGTTTTTGTTTGTTTTTAATTAAGTGGATACCATTGATATGTAGCTATTCATTCTCAAGTTACCTGCTCTCCCCCGCTTAGAATAGGGAATCTTTATTGGTGGTAAAGAAAAGTTAAATGCTACCTATTAATTCATACCATTTTACTTTTACTAAATCAGTATCCATGGGTTTCAGGGCACTTCTCAAGCACCACTAACAGAATTTTCCTTAAAAAATAGGCAATCCAAGACAAAATAGCCATAGCTTTGCAGTCTTACATGCCATAAGATTGACAATATCTTGTTAAATTTGGGATGTTGTCTTTAAAATGCAATTCAATGGCAAATTAACATAGAATATCCTTCTTATCCATTAAAAACCTTGTAGGGCTATCATAAAAAATATAGAGTGAATTTTAATACATTGATTCAGCAATAAAGAACTAGAAAAAAACTTCAATTTAAAAACCTGAGGATTAAAATAAATACTTTTGTGTACACAGTTTTATTGCTTTTGTTACCCATCAAACATCTACTCATTCTTCTCATGATCCCTTAAGTGTACATGCTTTTTCCTAAGCTCTTTGCAAAGATGTATATTAACTGTGAGTTATTGTCAATTGTAGGGTTACAGGTACAGATTGTTACTTTTTAAGTGATGGTCTTTATGTCCCTGCTGATCAGCTAGAAAACCAGAAGCCTTTAAATTTACACGTCATTCTCATCAATCCTACCGAAGCATCAAACAGCCAGGAAGAAAATGGTGAAGTAGCATCTGCTAAGAGACTGAAGCTAAATACAGATGACACAGCAAGCACCGTTTCTGCCTCTTCATCAGTGGTTCCTGGTCACCTTGATCACAGCACCCCAAGTCTGAAGAAAAAGGAAGTACAAAGCGCAAGTGCGCCGAACAAGGCAGGAACATTGTCAGAGTGCTCAGCTTCAAGCTCTCTCAGAAACGGTGAATGCCCAATAAGGGAAGTTGTTAAAGATGTCTGCCAAGTACTGCAGAAAGGGGATGCATATGTTTTAGACATTGACTTAGATTTTTTTTCAGTTAAAAATCCATTCAAAGAAATGTACACACAGGTAAGCATGAGAACAGAGAGGCCTCTTACCATTCACAAAAGATTTATGTCGATGGAGAAACTGTCATCTAAGCTAAATTAGCAGATCAGCTGATCATGATTAATGATTCATGGTAATATTTGAAGGAGAGACATTGTAAGGGAGTGTTTGCTCCACCAAAGCATTACAACAACCTAATAGGGGTAGATCCTTATATTTGAAATTGGTATTGAGTGCACATTCACACTGAGAGGTGTATGGCTCATTTCTGCTTGTTGCTTGGGACATAAAGCTATGCTTGGGTTTCCAAAGGTAATGTTCCGAATACCCACAGCAAGATTTGTCAGGGAGGGATGACAGATTGTATCATTTTTTATCATATTGGAAAGCCACAATGGTACCAGGAGACTCTGCCTTTCAAAAAGGCATGGTGGTGGTGATTATCTGAAGAGTGGTAACTTGTTCTGATGAGAGGCTGTTACTCTCATTTCCTTTGTCTGGACTGCCGAGTATAAGGATGAGCAAGCAGCTGTTGTCTCTGATGCTGTGGCTTTGAGCCTAAGACTCTGCCTTGTATTCCATTTATAACTTGGCTGCACAGCAAAGGTAGCTTACCTGTATAGAGTCATAAATATGTAGATCCTCAAAGGTGCAAAGCAGTTAGCACCTTTTCTTGACATGAACAGGATTTTTAGGAGCTAACTAATGTGCCCTGAAAATTGGGTGTGGCACCTAGGTTTACAAATTCTTCTGCAATCTCCTGACTGTTTTTAGCATTTAAATCTCTCTTTTTAAACACTGTTTTAACTTCAGCCTATGCTGGAAAACATCTGACATCTTTGAGTTTCAGCTAGACTACTGCTTTCTTGTTCACCATAAAGAAGTGAATATAGTGTCCCTGACCTCTGTTAGCTTCTGACATTCAGTATTTATGATCACAGTGTCTTCAGACAACGTGCAATGCCAGTTGTTCTGAATCAGAAAGAGAAGCATACAGCAAACGGAAAGCACTGTGGGGGTCTTGCCATATAAGAATAAAATTCAATACCCCTCTTAGGGCTTGAAATACATTCTGAATAAAATAATGGAGGAGGGTTTTTTTTTGGGGGTGGTGGTGTTTTGTTTCTTGTGCTTTTTTTTGGTTTTATGCTATGATGGGTTCTCAGTTCTGGGAACCACTTTCAGAAGTGGACTTGCACAGAGCACCCAGCATACCTTTTTTGATATAACGATTAATCGTTATTATTTCATAACTATGTTCCCTTTATTGTAAATTATGATAATTCCATCCAAAAATTTTTCCCAAATTAACACTTGAAATGTAGGAATCCAAGGAAAAGCTAAAAAGCAAGTATAGTTCACCAATCCAGAAGAATATTGTCTTCCCACCAAAAAAGTCTAAAATCCAAAACATTGTCCTAAAGATGCTTTGTATTTCTGTAAAAATTTAATAGTCTACCCTTCTTTTCTCCCTCTGCTCTGAAAAATTCATGAATGTTCACCTTTTTAATGCTGTTAAGTAAATAATGAGATCTGTTTATCCTTGATTAATTAAACCTGAATATTATCAAGGAATAGGGCTGACAAGCCCATGTAATAGTTTACTTGTGAACTTGTTAGCCAGGCAGCCTGAAGCCCTTACCTGTCCTGTTTTCCTTTACAATCATACTCTCTTGTTGGTTTTGTCTGTCTAAATCTGCCATCTCAGTTTTACTCAGCATCTCATTGGGACCTTAGTTCAGCAACATGTATGTTTAATTTCAGAGACTCTTTAACCAAGAGACGATAAATACTTAGTTTTTAAAGCTCTGTTCTTGAAATTAGGTTTAAAGTTAAGTAATTCCACAGTGTTTGGCTGAGGCCATGAATTATTGCTTTCTCAAGCCTCACAGCCTCTTCCTCACCTGCATTTGTAGAGAGTTGTCTGCAGTACTAAAGTAGAGGAATGATCTTGGTGATCAAATTCTTTTTTTGAAGAAGGAAGGCTTCGAGGATTTTGTTTCTCATTTGAAGAGTCTAATTTTTTGCCTCTTTTTTCTTTTTCAAAGACAGAATATGAGCTTTTGCAAGAGTTGTACAATTTCAAGAAGCCTCACAGAAATGCAACAGAGGTATGGTATTTCCTTGTGGGATGTATGAGGGAATGATTCTTTTGACTTACCCAATAAAAACGAGTTACGACAAGGAAGGAACCTATGAAAGGTGCTTAATGAAGTGGTCTCCAATTAAGCTATGCAGCATGCTGAATACTAATCAGCAGCATCTTAGGAATTCTGTCCTATTAAACATTTTGGTTAAACATGTGAATTGCATAAATATTTAGCATGAGTGTGAAAATTAATTTCTGTAAACAAGTGGTAATTGACAAGGAAGAAATGAAAACATAGTAAGTCATCTTCAGTCTCCTTTTTATGGCTCAACAGGGCTTTGGTTTGGGTTTGTTTTGGTTTGGGGTGTTTTTTGTGTTTTGTTCTTTTTTTTTAATCCCTCCAGGCTTTCCCCTTCCTTGCCCTAGTTGCTCTTCCTTGATAGTCAGAGCTGTGCTGAATGCCTAACTGGTATTTTACCTATTTATTTAGATGTGGAAAGGCTGGTATTATACCACTGTAATGTACTTTTCATTGTATGTGTTGTGTGCTTCTGAATCATGGAAATGTAAGCCTGCTGTAGCTGCCAAAATAGTCCTTCAGCCCTGAGCCCAAACCATGGGGACAGCCATATTAATGGTCATTACACCAAATAATTTCTAAACAAGGTCTTGTCTTTGCTTTCGTAATCTCATCTGAACACTATTACAGAGAGATTCAACACATATACTTATCACAGATTAATGAATCCTAATTAATGTGTGTATAAAGAAATTGAGGTATGTGGAAGATTGTACAATTGATTCTCATATTTCTTAGTCAATCAGCAATAAAAACAGGTGCCTATTTAAAAGGTAGTTAAATGTAAAAGGGGTAAACGCTCGTGATTTAAGTGCCCGATATGATTTCAGGGCATACGTTATTTACAAAAGCCAACAAATTTATAGGAGGCAGCTGAAACGGTTAGCAGACAGTGAGTAATGGATAGGTATAGAACTGAACAAGGCAAGACTAGATTTGTGGATGTTTTTATAGTGAGACAGTCAATTTAAAGGGTTTGAAGGTAGAAAGCTAGTCAACTTTGTGTTTTTCAAAGCTTCAGAAAATATCCTCGATGTCGAGTTTCTTAAAATCCATTTTTGTAGTTCCAGAGTATGGTTAGATGTACATTTCTATCATACTACAAGATAATAGTGTGTTGTTTGAGGTTTTTTGTTTGGTTTTGTTTTTTAAGTAGTATAGAGGGGGCTCGGATGTGTCTTTAATGTAAGTTACTGGTGCTGCTTAGAAAAGTATCTTATTCATACCCCAGGACAGGATCATAAAGCTGTACTTCATGAACGGTTGATACCCTCAGCTCTTAGAAATTAGCCCAAAGTTGACATCACTGGCCAAAAGCAGCAGTATCTGTTATATGATACAGCCAGCAGAATCCTAAGAGGGAATTGTTATGTTCTTAATCGTTACCCATCTATTCCAATGTGCTTTTTAATAATTTTTGTTCACACACCACTGCACTTTTAATACCAAATATGCCAAGCATTGCTTTTCATTTGATATGTTATGTAGGATCTCTTTCTGCAAATGTTTGCATGTACAAAACTGTTTTCATGTATGTAGCCTCACTCCAAGAAGATTGCCTCTTTATGTATTCTCAACTTTTTAAGAAAGGGCATAAACCTTTGCAGGATCAGAGCAATAACTGACATTTTAAATTAATTCTATTTTTTTTTTCAGGCACACAGAGCTGAAACAACCTCAGAGCATCAAATAGCCCATTTTGTTTTGTTTTTCTGAACATGCATTTGATTTAATTATATTCTTCTTTTTTTAAAACTTAAAAAATTAAATTCTCCTTTCATCATAAAAATGTAAAGCTTGTACTCCTCTGAGCATTTCAGTGCTATAGAAACAAATCCAACAATTAGTCATATACAGTTTTTTAGCTCTCCCTGGTGTGTTCTGCCAGAATGTAGATGTGGCTTTTTTTTGTTTGTTGTGGGAAAGACAGAGCAGAGAGAGTTGATTTGTTCTGAAGGTATAACAGCTTCTGCAGGCATTCATTCTGATCCTCTTGAAAAGACGTTCTGTAGTAATGAATCAGTTGTTTCTGATTCCCCACTTTCAGTAGATCAATCATTTCAGAATTTAAATCATAGGATAAGCCATGACATTCTTACTTCTTTTTTTCCTAACATACTTTTACATGTGCTTATTTAAAGGAGGGCTTGCTGGATTGTGTTGAAAACCGTGTTCATCAGCTAGAAGATCTGGAAGCAGCATTTGCAGATTTGTGTGACAATGATGATGAAGAGACCCTACAGAAGTGGGCTTCGTACCCTGGGTAGGAGATTTCTAAATGGCTTAAAATGCAAATAGTAGTTTGGGAACCGATTCGCCCACCACCTTGCTTACAGAAAAGGAGAGAGGCTGAATAGGATCTATGCAAGGCTACCATTTTTCCTTTAGTTCTAGAGGAGAAAGAGTCAGACAAAACAAAAGAAAAGGCAGTCTGCTGTCTTCAGTGCTATGGTAAGCCTTCCAAGATCAGCCTTGTACAGCTTCATGCAAATTCTATTGTCTGTGAAGGGAGGCACATTTGGCGACTAAAAATTTAGTGATCTGTGTGAAGCAGAGCTCTCAAAAAAGCAACAAACTACGGAGGATATGGAGAAGGACTTCTTTGGTGCTCCCGAAGAATCTGCTTTCTGTGGAAAAATGGAAGTGAGTGAAAGGCTGTACCTGAGCAACAGTGTCCACAAAACATCTCAGCAGCATCTGCTATGCTTTTAAACTAAATGTTTTCAGCTGAAAAGAAACAGTAAAATTCTAAGCTTTCCCTTGATGGAAAATCACTCATTTTCCCCATCAAATGCAGCAGTTACCGCCAGACCTGCGTAACAGTGACCACAAGCATTTCCTATCCAGTTCATACAACTTCGAGCTACAACAGCTTCTCCCCAGGTCTGCCCTAAAAGAAGTGCAAAGAAGTCTTGCCAGAGGCAGGTATGAGTATAGGGGCTTTCTAAGAAAGACCTGGTGAAACAGTACAATAGTACCGATAATTTCCATTTTTCTTAGGTGCAAGATGACACGGGCAAATTTCATTTTCAGATCCTAAGCCATGATAACTAAATTTAGTGATCTGTGTGAAGCAGAGCTCTCAAAAAAGCAACAAACTACGGAGGATATGGAGAAGGACTTCTTTGGTGCTCCCGAAGAATCTGCTTTCTGTGGAAAAATGGAAGTGAGTGAAAGGCTGTACCTGAGCAACAGTGTCCACAAAACATCTCAGCAGCATCTGCTATGCTTTTAAACTAAATGTTTTCAGCTGAAAAGAAACAGTAAAATTCCAAGCTTTCCCTTGATGGAAAATCACTCATTTTCCCCATCAAATGCAGCAGTTACCGCCAGACCTGCGTAACAGTGACCACAAGCATTTCCTATCCAGTTCATACAACTTCGAGCTACAACAGCTGCTCCCCAGGTCTGCCCTAAAAGAAGTGCAAAGAAGTCTTGCCAGAGGCAGGTATGAGTATAGGGGCTTTCTAAGAAAGACCTGGTGAAACAACACAATAGTACCGATAATTTCCATTTTTCTTAGGTGCAAGATGACACGGGCAAATTTCATTCAGATCCTAAGCCATGATAACTTCTATTTTCTTCTGGTTTCTCTTTTTTTTCCTTTTTTTTAAACCATTTAAAGTAAATAGATGTATTTCCAACTGTTTATGTAACGAGTTTTGGTTTTGTTTTAACTCCAGAATGAAGCCACTTGTTCAACTAGTTCACAGTTTGAAAACCAGGATGGAAAGCCCAGACTACGAAATGGTAGGTGACTAGGTAAAAGAGCAGAAAGTGGACAGATTTCAAAAGCATAGCTTCAGCAAGGAGGGAGAAGATAATGCTTCATTTCAGACTTGCTTCTTAATTCAGGACTTCGTCAGGTTTTGGTAGTTTTCCTTTTTTTTAATGTCTTATTATTTAGGTCAGCTTTTCTTTTTAAAGATTCTAAAATTCTACCCTGCCAGCCTATATTTAGGCAACATTAATGTGATCTTTCAGGACTGTGACGTCTCAGGCTGCTTCCTGTGAAGGAAGGTTTCATTTCACCAGGGTCTATTGATATACTTTATAGAACTTAACTTAAGGTACCTATTTGTAAAAGATCAGACCTATCATCCTCAAGGGCTGCAGCATACTCTGAATTCATAGGAGAGGTACAGTGTACTGGAGATAATGAAACAATCCATACAACCTCCAGAATTTTATTCTTTTTGTTTAAAGAACACATTGGGGAAAAAAACCCAACTCTTACTGCCTGAAGAGGTGTAAGTTACTTACTGGGCTAGAGATGGTATCTTAGAGACTTTTTATACAGATAAGCTATATCAATAATTCATCAACAGAAATTAAATCTGTTTAATTTGCATGCAGGTCCATCAGGCTGGTCTGACCTGTGATTATATAGAGCTTCCTCACCATGTTAGCACTGAAGAGGAGATTGAAGGCCTCATACAATCTGTTAAAGTTCTACTAAAAGATATGCCTAAGCCCACACTTGTGACAGTTGCTCGGTAAGACTATGCGGATACTTTTACTTTAAAACACTCAGACTGTGCTTACGAAGTTAAATGATTCTATCAATATAGCACTGGTTGGCACTTCTTAAATTCTGTCTTAAAGTGGAAGCCTTACAGTGTAGTGAAAATTGACATTTGAAAATGTTGATCATAAGGCAGTGACAGTATCTGCACAGCTGAGGGAAGGTTCTGTGCTGATGGCCAGTTTTACTGGGCTTTACAGTAGCTAGCACAGATTTCAAAAGCAGTGAAAACATGATGATTTAATGAGCTTCAGCACAGGCTATATAAAGCCTGTGATGAGGCCTTGTGTGTGTTGAGATTGATAGCTGTCGCTGGGGTTTGTACATCTCCGCTACTTTTATTACTTGTGCTAGTAAGAGCAAAACTAGCTTGGACAAGCCTCCATGGGCTGAAATCACACGTTCTAGGGTTCATTGTACTACAGTTAGGATTTCTGTTTTCGGTGAAACTTCTGATGGAAGTGTTTTTCATCTAATAGGCTGAAAGGGATTTATATTCTAGAAAGCTCTAGTAAAGCTTTGTATGGGGTAAAAGTTATGCTTCCAGGATTGTAAGGGTATTATTTGGGAGAACAGGATGGAGTTTGAGGCCAGGGACCTGGGAGAACCAGGGATCTGTCCTGGGAAAACTTAATTTGAAGACCACAGCGTATCTGTTGACAAATTATTGTAATTTAATCACTTCAAAAATACTAAGTGTGCCCTTAAAGGGCAGGCAACAATAGCAGAAGGTGACATGAAATTGTTTTTGTCAACAAGAAATAGTATGGCTAATACCTACAATAAAAGAAAGCTGTATTTCCTGTGCCAGCTGCAGGGTTATCATCCACTGTTGCAGATTATGTAGATCTTGACAGACATAAAATCCAAGAAGTGTCAGCTCTGCTTTTTTACTAGTATCTGTTTGCAGTTCAGTAATAGATACTGTAAATAATGTTATATCCCAGGGATTGTGAAGATTTGTTTTTCAAGTTTTCCTACCTGTTTTACTAGTAGCATTTGAATTTTGCAATCTTAACTTTCCAGCAGTCCTTCAGTTAGATCATTTGCTTGAACTTTGACTGCCAACATGTTGTGTGTCAGAGTCAGGAAGAGAGTAGAACTGGAAGGATGAATAGGTCACATTCCTACTCTGCTCCAGACTTTCTATTCAACTTAGGCAAACTGATACCATTGAAAGTAGTGAGGAGAAGCACAGCACTACGCTTTGAAGGGATACTGGGAGGCAGAACTCACCACAGTTTGAAAGCAGCTTCAGCCTAGACACAGAGCATTACAAGAATACAAAATGTGGTGATGGTGGCGATACCTGTACTCTCTCACGCTTTTTTCGTTTCGTTGTTACAGATCAAGTTTGGATGACTATTGCCCTTCAGAGCAGGTTGACATCATTCAAGAGAAGGTTCTCAATTTACTAGGTTCAGTGTATGGTGCTCTGGATGTGCACTTAGATTACTCAAGCACCTCATCTTTTTTGTGACCTTTCTTCATGTATTGCCCTCTAATGCAGTGGATTAAATTGCATATTAGCTATGGTTGCAAGGGGAAAAATACTGTTGTTTCAGCAGGTGGCACTAGAACCCAAGCTGACCAAGAGCTAGTTTCGAGTTGCATTGCTTTCTCCAAGCTGCATCTGAACTGTTACCTGTTTGGCTTTATTCAGATTATTTCTGTGATTATTATTTTTACTGTCTTGCTTCTTAAAATTGGTGCAAGAGAAACTATTTTTTGTGCATCAGATGTACTTTTCATCTGACTTCTTTAAGTGTCTGTAAAAAAAAAATTACGTATATGTAACTTCTTAAAGTAAATGGATTTCTTTTATGTAATTAAACTTTTTTTGATGGAGTTTGGTGAGTACAGACATGTTCCTGAGTTGCACTGTACCTTTTAAAAAACTTATCTCAATAATGCCATTAAGACATTAGGTGTACATAGTGATTTTTCTTAACTGCTGTGCTCGAGATGACCAAGAATCCCCCTACAGAAACTAAGTGGAGTCAGATCACGTACTGCTTGCGTAAAGTTTTTTGGTTTTTTTAAAGTAAGAGATGCTCATTGCTGGGCTTTTTTTACTGTCAAATCAGTCCCCCTCTTCTGTGCTTCTCTGAATGAAGAAGGATGGCTTGACCTCTGTCTGGCACAACACCATGCCATGTTTCCATTCCAGTATTTCAACAACATCCGATCTAACACAAAACTCCACTTCTGTCTTTCCTCTTTTTCCCTTCCCCAAATACCCCTTTCAAAATGAAACATCAGTCAAAGCAACTTTTGGCTTGATACACTAAGCAGTTAGCATCATCACAGATCAGGACCCAGAGAAAACAGGGGTCTGAAATCTTTCCACACCAATAACAAACTGCCAGTTGCTTCCATGAACCTGTCATGCTGGCAATGCCCTCACAACCACAAAGCCAGTAAGATTACTGCCCTTTCTTAGGGAAATATGGTCCATGTTCAGCTGTTTTGGAGCCCAAAGATTGAACCAAAGAATAAATTATTTGATTCAATGTCATAAATAAGGTCCATATCTATATATCTAAATCTAGATCATCTAGACTGGATGGTGGGGTTAAGTCACCAGACTCGTAAATGAAGAGCTCATTAGAGGACTGACAGGTATCTTTCCTCTTGTAGACAGAAACACGGGCCAGACAACCGGCTCATCAGCACCAAATTTTCCCTCTGTTCCTTCCCTCCAGCTATGCTGTGAGGGTTGTCTGCCTCGTTGCATTGTCCTGTATGGCCGAGGACCTTCCCATTTCCACTGTTACTCCTTTGGAAACAACTGGAGCATTAGAGAGTTGGTGGCAGGGCTGCATACCTGGGACTGGGCTGACTTGAGAGCCTGGGCACATCCCAGCAGTGAGAAAAGCTAGTGCAGGATTGAGCTGAGGGAGGGTGGGGAGAAGTCACCCTGGTTACAGCCATGGCTCCAGCAGGCTGTGTTGTCGAGCCAGCCCCTGGATATCAGAGCCCCCAGGAAACGCTCAGGACAGCTTCAAGGACCATGATGAGACAGGACACCTAACAGCTCCTCCTTGCTACTCCTTCCTCCTCACACTTCTCCCCTGCTTCAACATGGGGTGCTCCATGGGCTGCTGTTCCTTCAGGAAACACCCACCTCCTCTGGTACGGTCCTCTCCCATGGGCTGCAGGACAACACCCGCCCCACCGGGGTCTCTCCAGGGGCCGCAGGGGCATCTCTCTCTCTGCTGGGGCTGGAGCACCTCCTCCCCTCCTCCTGCTCTCCCCCCGG